ATAAAAAAAGAGTGTTAGCTGCAATTCACTGCGGGTAGTGGGTGGGAAATTCCGGATTTGGATATGCTTAACGGAGTCAAACATGGTTAGAAAAGGGTAATTTGGGCATTTAGAAAATTTTAAACAGCTATATGGGAATCTTTTTCCAATTTAACTGAGGTATTTGTCACAAATTAAAAGTATAAGGGGGTGTTTGTCACTAATCCCATAGATACTTTCAATATTTTATCATATATGAATGATTATTTTATTATATTCTTAATTATTATTTATTTATTTAATTTTTATTAAATAACTAATAAAATATTATCTACTAAATATCTCTTAATAATTAATTACTTATTTTAATTCATAAATAATTATTAATTGTTTTAATAATTTTTGCTGATTCCATTTTTATTAATTATTTTATATTCGTTTAATTAATTGTTAATTAATTTGTTAATAAATAGTTCAACAAACTTTTAATATCCAAAATTAAAATGGTCATTTGTTACCTTTTAGAATTCAACATTTAGATTTAATAGCAACATTCTTTTCATCCAAACATCAAAATAAAAAAAAAAGTTTACCACCTCTAATACACCTCTTAAAATAATTATTACAATTAAACCCCCGTTGCACTCCCTCTACATCCGCTTGTATAATTCTTAAAGTCGAACCTTTTGTTGTCCCTCTCTTTCCTCACGTAAAATCCAAAAATATAAGTTGTACTACCTACAATCTCATAGGTAGGGGTGGACTTGAGTTGCGTCGACTCAAATACTTGGTTATTCAAGCTCAGCTTGTAAAAATAGTGTTAGACTTGAGCTTTAGCTCGATTCGAACTAGAGACTTAAGTTCGAGCTCAGCTCGGTTCTAAAACTCGCAAGTTCGAGTTCAGCTCGGCTCGAGCTTGACTACAAGCCAAGATTTTTCTAAAAAATAAAAATTATACATATAAAAATAATTATTTTATTTTACATACAAAAATTAGGAATTACAAAAAGTATTTATTATTATACATACAAAAGATAATTATAAAAATTATTTACTATTATACATAAAAATAAAACATTTATACAAAAGATATTATTGTGTATATAATAAAATTATTTATTATATGTATGTATGTATGTATATAATAACAAAATATTTATTTAATATACTAGGCTCGAGCTTGGCTCGATTAGCCAACGAGTCTATATATTAGGATCGAATTCGGTTTAAACCGAACTCGAATAGCTCATGAAAAGTTTAGCTCGTGGCCACCCCTACCCATAAGTGAGAACTTTAAAAGAAGCATAACCTCACATGGATAAGCACCAGCGTGATCAACACGCAACCAGGGAGGGCAGAGCCTTCCGAAGACCTAAATAGGCGGCCTTTTCCCTAAAACCCCGCAAGGAATCTAAATGCACCACGACACTCAGCTATATAAAGACATCTCACCCCAAAGTTTGCTATCTTTTAATCTCTCTTATTAATTCTTGTTCCCTTACTCTTAGATCTCTTCCTCACCTCGGACCAGCTTGTCCTCAACAGCTCGGCCGGACCTAACTCATCATCCTTTACTGATTTGATGAGTTGGGATGGCTTCCCTGAGGACTAAATCCTCATGTCCTTCCACTTGGGCTCATCAAGTTGGTAGGATCTTTTATTGCGTATCTACCTCGACTAGTATAAGCAAAACTGAATAAATCCTACCAATGTACAACCCTATTTGCTATTATGACTTTGTTTCAAATAAGGGACCAAACAACTTTTTTCTTCTAATTTGTCTAAAACAAACAATTGGATCAGGACCTAGATCATCAAATTTGTCACCCTTGGCTTTAATGAAGCCTTCCCTTTTATTCAATTACTACCAAGGCTGCAAGGCATATAGCCACAAATAACTCATCTCATCTTATCTTAATTTGCAAATGTGGGTTTTCAAACAATCTCTATTGCTTTATAGTGCGGCAGGGATTTTTTTCCTACACTTTTGTTGTAGGGATGTTTTATTAAACGTTTCCAACCACAAAACCAAATGCGGTTGGGTTCGGTTTGAGAGTTTTGTAAATTGTGATTTGTAGTTTTAGTTGGTTTATTGAATTTTATATATATATATATATATATATAATATGAATATATGATATATAAATATTATATATAATATATTTAAATGGAATACTTAAAATTGTAAATACATAATAATGAACTCTTTATTTTATAATAAAATACTAAATAAACATTTTAAGTTTTAATTTTTAGGGGAGCTATTAGGGCTTTCTAATTGGATTAAGCCCAAAAGAACCATAAAATGGTCCAAAAGTCCCCAAACCATATTAAAAATCACACCAAATTGTAATAAAACGGTTTGGTTTGGTTTAAAAATTTCTCAAACCATAATTTACTGGTTTGATCTGAGATCTTCTCTAAACTGCACCAAATTGGACTGTAAACACCCCTACTTTGTTGCTCTCTTTTGTAACTTCAAAAAAGGTTTTTTTTTTTTTGTTCACCTTGACTGATTTTCAACAGCATTGTTACCAACTGATGATGGTGGTTCAGTTGGTAGGATCTCTAACTCATCGTAGCAGAGACTTGAGATTAGATCCAACTTCCCACCAGGATTTTAAGGGTAAGGGGAGGGGAAATGGGTATCCCCCTCTCCCCCTCCCCCGTTTGGTGTAGCTTTCATGAATCAAAAAAAAAAAAAAAAGTAGCATTGTTTTTTGTTTAAAAAAGAAGAAAATTGAATACTAGGGATAAAATGAAGAAACCACTTAGGATCTGAGACTGGATATGGTCCTCACACCAAGCGCTTCACATGCACCTTCTACCATGCATTGAAAACATCTCCCATACTTATTAATTATTATTCACGAAAAATGTTCCCAATACACGGTGGATATGCATGTGAGGAGACCGGATCTGCTCCTCACACACACATCTTATCATGCATTGAGAGCATCGCCCGTACTTATTAGTTATAATTCACGGGAGATATTCTAATGCACGGTGGATGTGCCTATAAGGCATCCATTCGTGAGGAGCAGATCCCATCACCCATTTGTGAGGAGCAGTTCCTGTCTCTTGGGATCTACAGTCACATCACTAATGTAGCCTACGTAGGTAGCTATCTATCCAATCATGTAAACCCATTAGTGTTTTGTACACATGGGACTCGTATGCATATACATAAAATTCTGGTATTTTAACTCGTGATTGGTTACATAGCCACTAGTACATGAGTCTGAATCAACATGATCACATCTTATACATATCGGGTCTCACACTTTATGGTGGGTCCCAGTCTTAGGATGAGATGTGCGGTGTTACATGAGGTGAAATTTCAAATTTCATTTTTTTTTTAATTCCGTCGTAATCTTGTTATAGCATATTCCAACTTCGTTTATTTGAAGTGAAATTTCATTTGCTTTTAATTCAACATAATGGGAGTACAAATGATTACACTTCAAGTTCGGGTCTTAGTGTGAGAGTAAGGAGTGGTGCGAATTCTGTCTAGAGAAAGAATATGGGTCGCATGTGTTGTCACAGGTGATTAGTGTACTGGTTTTGCCATCATCAAAACTGAAAACAGAAATAAACAAAAATTGGATTCTTCTCATTGGCACATATGTACTAGTGCAAATGAAATTGCATTAGAAGCAGTGTTAAGTGGACCTAAAGAGAGAATTGAGGCATGCAGAATTAACACAAGATCATGCACACTTTAGTAGTTCAGACTTAAATTGCATTAAGGCTTGACTTGCCTCCCAAGATCCAACTGTCTCGCTTCCACTTTTAGCATTTTTAGTATATTAGTTATATATCTCATAATAAACTCATGATTAAATGATATTCTATGGCCTTTTCTCCCTAATCCTTTCTATTAATTATCATGCACTTAATGGCGTATCACTAGAATGCTAAATCAAATTTGAATATCATGCATTTGATTAGTTAATCAGATGTTAAATCAAATTTGAATAATTCAAATATTGTAATCGAATGAATTAAAATATTTTATTCATATCAGTTAGTTAATCATATTTGAATTCGGATATGAGTTAATTCGATTTAATAAATATCCGAATTCAATCAATTACCTAGATTTTTTTAGGTCAGTAGCACTTTGGCTCACTCGAGTAAGGGAGTGAGCGTGTCAATAGGGGTGAACACAAAACTTTTTTTAGGGTCAACTATCAGGAGGTAGACAAAGTGCTCCCTCACTCTAGGAGAGGGGAGTGAAAACTTCACACATGCATCACTGGTATACACTATATGGGATAATCCCAAACGATTCCTTATTCCAACAAAAGAGAGATGACAATTATTAAAGGTTGATTCAACAAGTGAAACTATTCACAATAACTAGGAGATGGATTTCTTATGAATTGTAATCCCAGAAGCTTCGGTCATATCTAAATCCTTCCCACTTGCTCCATTCGGTAATGTCCAGTCAAACATGTGCAGATGATTCGCTAATACAAGTTCATCAATGGCAACAGAAAACTCCATTCCAGGACATCCCCTCCTAACCAGCCCAAATGGGATCAATTGAAAATTATGACCTCTGAAATCATTACAACTACTGTCAGCATTCAGGAACCTCTTTGGGTGAAATTCCTCAGATTTCTCCCAAGCCAATGGATCTCTCATAAATCATAATCGCCCAGGCACTTGATGATGATTACACCTGTATTTTGAAATCTTGAGTTGATTCCCCTCGAATCAGCAGAGGAATATAATTGGAGGGTGTGGTCTAAGTGTCTCCTTGATCACCATTTTCAAGTAGTGCATTTGTTCTATATCCTCTTCTGCAATGTTGAGTTTGCTTACAATAATCACCCTGATCTCTCATCTTGAACACAGAGAGAAAGAAAAGCAACAAGAGAAGAAGAGAAGAGATTGGGTGTGATAAGGTTCCTTGCTGTAATAATCGCACAATATCAGACATCATGCCCCACCAACAAATCACTTCATCTAAGTCAAGGTGGGGCCATGACTACAAATCAAAGACTTTGATTTACTTGTTTCAGCTTCGACACTGTAACAGCAAATGTGTCTTTTGGTGCCTTTGAGAAGTCGACCATACAGTCCATAATTTAAGAGTTGGGATATACTCCTCACTCACACCATCCTTACACTGCATTCTAGCCATGCATTACGAATATCTTCCTATGAAATGATAACATCATGCATGGGAGATGTCTTTGATGAGGTGCCCTTGGTGAGGAGCAAATTCGATCAAGAAAGATTACCTGCCCTTGGATGAGTGTGCTAATCAGGTAACAGTTTGATGTGATATATATGTTGTCTTTATCATCAAGGATGGGTGTATCATGAAAATTAAGTTCGAGGTGCTGTCATTTTAATTTTTTTGTTGGAAGACACGTCTCCTACTTGCTACGTGTTTGGCATAATTTCTCTTTATTAAATAAATATTTGTATTTGATTTGCCATCAAAATCGAGAAAAAATAATTAATAAATGTTGTTTTAGGGTTTGTTGATGATTACATGCCACTAAGTTTCATTAGGCATCACATCAACCAACAAGAAAAAATGCTTTTGTGGGAAGATGAAGTTTCCCCCAACTATTGGTTTACACGTCAATTAAAAAAGAATTTATCAATAAATATGCATTCAAAATAATATAATAGAACAAATGTTAATTTGACAATTATCAAATAAACGAAAGTCATACCAAATACTGTTTTATTGCTTGCAAAACAAATGACGTAAATGTTTGGATTTTTCAAAACAGTTGCAACTTGGGATCACTAAACGATAAGCTAATTACAAATCTTCTCAATTTTTGTATATCACACATTAAAAATATAAGAATATTAATTATTCAACTTAATGTTTTTAAAAGCCAACGTGAAATTAAACTATTTTGGCCACTGGCTTTTGGGTTAGTGGTTTAATTGTTTGATTTGAATGAATGGATCGTTACAATTTAAACAAAAATACAAAAAAAAATGGCCAAAAACCATATTGCCTGGATTAAATGAATTGATTATTCGTGCGATCACCCATGTCAATAAATCACTGACCAGTCAATGGTATTTTGGCAAAAAAATACTTTTAAGGACTTTTAAGAGTAAAATGAAACTGATTGCCTGAGAAGGTGGAAAGGATGAGATCAAATCAGTCCCCCATATGATTGCCTCCCACAACCTCCCACAGCACATCCCCTCTATGTATTGAAAACATTTCTCAATGATAATATCAAAAACAATGGAGATATTCCCAATACACAGCAGGGATGTACTGTGGGATATTATTGGGGGCAATCTTGTGGGGGCTGATTTGAACTTGAAAAGAATGTTAGTCAATTGGTTTGTAAGGCTCTCTAGTGCCTATGCCTCTTTTCTCTTTTCTGTTTTGTTTAATCTCCGATGTTGAGAAAACTTCTCCTTCAACAACCTTCTTTCAAAAACCCAATACTGTTGGTTGTAATTCATACTGTCAAAATGATCAAAGCTCTCGTGTGTTAAAAACATTCAAGGGAAAAATAGTATTTTAAAAATTTAAATAAATTCACAAGGTATATTTAAGTTCAATAGGTCAGCCCACAAGGTATATTAAGTTAATTTCTAAAACTCCAAGATATGTGTAGTTAATTTAGCCTAATTTTTATTAAATTTAACATCTCTACATGTAATCCAATAATAATAATACAATAATAATTTACAAAGGTTAATGAAATGAATAATCTATTAAATCCACATTTACACTAAAAATGAGTTTTATGCAAAAATAAATTATAGAAATAAAAATACATTAAATAACCGATTTGATATGTTTTATAAATGATTAATTCATATTTTAGTTTACATTATATTATAGTTTACAAAAATCAAAAATATTGTTTAGATCCTTTCTCGTCTTTTCGACAGAACCCCCCTGACCAAAATAACAATTCCAGAAGTCATACAAAAATCGAATGACCAGTTCCACAACGTCGAAGCAGAACGCAGAATGTGCTCTGCAATCGGTGCTTGCAGAGCGATCCCGCCGTTGGTCTCTTTGCTCCTGCATTAACAGCCCTCTCTTTGTGAAAGACTATCAGTATCCTCAAATTGGATTAATATCTTAATGAGGTAAAGCTCATTTTAATGGCTAGATACTGATTCTTAAGTGACAATTTACTGGAACCATGCTGTGATCACCAAGCAGGTAAGCTTTAAAAGGAAGAAAAAGCGAAAACAAAGCAAAAAGAAAAGGACGCAAATGACAATTATTCCCAGACTAAAAATACCACAGAATTTAGAAAATGTAGACTAAAAACCCAGAAAAAAATAACTTAGAAACACCAATACTAGAACATAGGATTGAATTCCAAGACATTAAAACGGTCTGAAAGGCGAAACTAATTCTAAAGTTATTCTTATAAAAAAATTGTAATGTTATTAAATGATTAACAGACATGAAGCATATCAACAAATATTTTCTGTTGAGATGGGAAATTTTCATTTTTTTGGAAAATTGAAGAATCACAGTCTCTCTACAAGTAGAAATAGACAAAACAAACAACAGAGTGATCAAAGCTTGAAATTAGACCTGAACATGGAACAAAGGGAAGATCCTCGCGAGTGGGTTTGGGCGAGTCAATTCGAGGGAAGAAAGACGCGCTTACGACGCTCTATAAGCTCTGTTCTACGAAACAGAACAAAGAGAGGGCTGTTAGAACTGTCATAGTCGAAGAAGGAGGGATTGCAGTTTTGGTTGAAGCGATCAAAGACGGGTCGGTGAAAGGGAAAGAGTTCGCGGTACTAACGCTTCTGCAACTATGCGCGGACAGTGTACGGAACAGAGGACTGTTGGTGAGAGGTGGGATCCCGCCGCTTGTTGCGCTCTCTCAGACGGGCACGGCTTGAGCGAAGCAGAAGGTATTTTCCGTTCACCATTGCCCTTTTAAGATTTAATCTTTATGGTGTTCACATCACTCGCTCGACATTGTGAGTTCTGACTCGTGTTCCGGTCTCTGAGAGGAAAATGAAGAGCCTTTCCCTCTAATGGCCTGGCGTGCTTTGCCTATCTCTACGGCGGGATATTGATGGGTGCGGAAAGCGTCTGATTGTGGTTGTAGTAGAGATGAGGCGAAGCATGAAGTATCTTGCAACGGAACGAGGGCACTCGTCGCTGGTTTTTTTTCCTCTCGGAAAATCAGATCTTGCAGCGGAACGGACGACGCCCGTTGCCCTCCGGTTGGCTGTTGGTGGAAGGTCGCTCTTGTGGAACACAACTGTCGGAAAATCAGATCTTGCAGCGGAACACGACCGAGCAAATTCCTTGTCGGTGCCAAGGCATTACTTGCGAGAACAACCGAGTCACCGTCTTGCGTCTTCCTGGCAACGGACTCATCAGCCAAATCCCCGTAGGAGTCTTCGGAAATCTGATGCAGCTCCACACGCTTATCCTCCGGCTTAATGCTCTCACCGGTCCATTGCCGTCCGATCTATCCACACGTAAAGACTTCCACAATTTATATTTGCAGGGGAACTTTTTCTCCGGTGAGATTCCGTCGTCCTTGTTCGGACTCAAGAAACTTGTCCCCGTTAACAATATAAAAAGGGTAGTTTGGACATTTAAAAAAAATTAATACTCGGATAAAATTTTTTCAAAATTAACTGATGGAACATTAACAGAAGGGGGTCTTTGTCTAATGGTTAAAGTTCAGGGGGGTCTTTGTTGCAAAAAAAAATGTATAGGGGGACTTTGTCACTTACCTCAAAGTACAAGGGGGTCTTTGTAATTTATCCAAAAAAAATCACAAGATATTATAAATTGAAAAAATCTACCAATTTTTGCCATATTTTTTCAAAATTTAAAAAAAATCTTTAAAAAAATTTACATTTCACACTTGTTTCTTACAACTTTCGCAAATTTAGCATTCTAAAAATGAAGTTTGGAGTTTTAGAGTCACTTGGGGGTGAAAGAAGGCTTATTTCGACAAAAGAAACTTGCTTTCTTCCTTTATATTTTTTTAGTTTTTGGCCATATCTTTTTCATTGATATGCTACCCATATGTCCCAATACGCATGAAAAAAAAAAACAAAACGTTTGATTTTCATACATATCCTGTATCAATTTTTAAAAATACAATATGATATGCCCCAGGCGTATCATATCAAAATTTTAAACCTTAAAATTAACAATTAACAGACATGAAATAATCCAAAACTAATCCATTTTAAAAGTAGTAATTTAAATTAATGTACTGATAGATAAGTCCAACTTCAATAGATATTTGGTGCAAACGACCTTACACTCCTAGGAGGGGATGGAAAACATACACACATACATCAATGGCATACACTATATGGGGTAATCCCAAACGACTCCATATTCCAATAAAGAGAGATGACAATTATTAAAGGTCGATTCAACAAGTGAAACTATTCAATGTTATTGTGAGGGGTTGCAACAAGAAGGAGAGGGGATTTCTTATGAATTGTTAACCCAGAAGCTTCGTCCATATCCAAGTCTTTCCCACTTGCTCCATTGGGTAATGTCCAGTCAAACATGTGCAGAAGGTTTGCTAATACCAGTTCATCCATGGCAACAGCAAACTCTATTCCAGGACATCCCCTCCTACCAGCCCCAAATGGGATCAATTGAAAATTATGACATCTGAAATCAATACAACTACTGTCAGCATTCATGAATCTCATTGGATGAAATTCTTCTGCTCTCTCCCAAGACAATGGTTCTCTCCCAATTGCCCACGCATTGATTATTACTCTTGTTTTGGCTGGAATGTCATAGCCTTGTATTTTGACATCTTGAGTTGATTCTCGTGGAACCAACAGAGGAGCTGGAGGATGTAGCCTCAGTGTCTCCTTGATCACCATTTTCAAGTAGTGCATTTGTTCTATATCCTCTTCGGTAATGCTGGGTTTGCTTCCAATGATCCTCCTTACCTCATCTTGCACTTCTTTCATGATTTCTGGGTGCCTTAAAAGTTCTGCCATTGCCCATTCTAACAGTGTGTGAGGTGTCTGTTCCAGCAGCAAACATATCCTGGAACCTCAGAAAGTCATGATCAAATCTCAAGATTAAGAATAATTTGGATGGGGATAAATCCTTATACCT